CTCAGCACTCTTTTCAATAAAACTCAGGAGGTTACTGGGCTCACTTCTGGCGAGGGACTCACTACCAAGAACACTGGCCTTCAGAGCACGACAACTAGCATATAACAATATGTCGCAAGATACATTACATACAACAATCAGAATGATTCTGAAGCGTGGTAACTGAGCTGCAGAACTGCATGAAACAAAAAGCTCAACGGAGGTGGCGTCATGAAATGACCTTAGAACTTCTTGAAAATGCAAGAATATAGGAGAAAAACAGCCAAACAACCTTCATACCTACTTCCTCTAGAATCATCGAGAAAACGACTGCTACTTGATAAACCTCTTGTCGTCATCGCGGAAGAAATGCGCGCAACGCTCCACCACAAAACCAGAAGTGGACCTATCCCTACTCTATATAATGCGCTAAGTCTGTCTGTCTGTCACGAAATTCCGTATTAAACGGACAACAACCTACTGGGTCCAGGTCATGTTTGGGATGGGTGTACCATATCGCGAGAAGTAAAAAACAACATTACCTAAGCGGAGCCCCGCCCACAGTGGGCGTGGCGTGCGTCGAAATGAGTGGTACTGAGGACCATGATTTCAAATTCAGTCACAAAACAGCCTCGAGACCGGGAGAAATTTGGCATAGGTGTGGGATGGCAAGCCAGATTGAAATGAGGAGACCCACCCTCGGCGGGCGGGGCGTTCTCTAGAAAATGGGTGCTCAGTGAAAATATTCATAACTCGGTTAAGAAGAAGCATACGGACCAGAAACGAAAATAGTGCAGGGGAGCGATGCCTAAGGTATTTCCACCACGCATGATGTGGACGGAGGCCCGCCCACAATGGGCGGAGCGTGTCGTAAAGCGGACAGCGTGTTCTACAAGAGCTCATAAATCGGCTCCGAGATGAATTAGAGACCAGAAAACAGCGGATAGAGGTCAGGAGGGGAAGGGAAGCTTACAGTGTCAGGGAAGGGCGGGCTTACATCAAGTGGGCGGAGTTTGCAATTAGGTTATAACTCGGTTCTGGGAGTACCGGAGTCCGGAAAAGCGACTAAGGGTTTGGCAGAGGGAAAAGGGTCAACCGTTGTTGGCGGGCGGGAGCATGCACCAAAGTGGGCGGGGTTGCCACGGTACTTCATATCTCGGTTCCAATAAGTTCGGAGATGGCAAAAGTTAGAGAAGGCTTGGGGATAGAGATGATAGTCAAGCTGATTACAGTGGTGCAACCCAATACACCAAAGTGGAGGGGTTTGCCACGAAAAGTCATTTCTCATAGTCTTTACAAGACCTCATAATTCGGCCCCGAGTGACTTAGAAACCTGAAAACTATGTAGTTGGAGGTGAGAGAGGAAGTAGAGGATGAATGTGACATGGGCGCAGCACTCCCGAAGTGGACGAGTTTGCACCACTCTCATAAATCGCTGTTCCAAGACGGCTAGGCGAACCGAAGAGAAATGTGCGATAAGGGTTGCCGGGGAAAAAGGGATAAATGCTTAATGGTGGGCTAAGCTTGCACACTCGAGGTGGCGGCAGTTGCCACCACCCTCATGAACTCGCTTCTGGAAGCCTCCAGTGACCGGGAAAAAAGTGTTAAGGATGTCGAAGGCGGCAGGGTGTTAAATTGGCATTGGTGGGCAAGTTGTGCCACCAAAGTGGGCGGGGTTTGCCCAGAAATTCATACTCATAACGTCTTCTACAAGACCTCATAATTCGGCCCAGAGATCGACTTAAAACCTGAAAAAATATGCGAAGAGGTGAGAGGAGGAGTATAGAACCGCAGCAGGGAGGATAATGTTGGAATGTGGACGCTGGGCGTTGGACACCTCGAAGTGGGCGGAGTTGCCCACCCCTCATAACTCGCTTCCTGGAAGGCTACAGTCCGGGAAAAGAGTGATAAGGTTGCCGGTGGGAAGGGAGCTTAAATATATTGGTGCGCTAAGCATGCCACCAAAAGTGGGCGGCGTTTGCCACGGCTACGTTCATTATCTCGGTTCCAATAAGTTCCGGAGGATGGGCAAAAAGTAGAGCAGGCTTGGGGAAGAGCATGATAGTCAACTGAATTACAGTGGGCAACCATGCACAAAGTGGAGGGGTTTGCACGAAAAGTATGTCTCATAGTCTTCCTACAAGGCCTCATAATTCGGCCCGAGATGACTTAGAAACCTGAAAAAATATTGTGAAGAGTGTGAGAGAGGAGTAGAGGTTGAATGTGAACGCTGGGCGTGGCACACCCCGAAGTGTGCGGAGTTTACCACCGCTCCCATAACTCGGTTCCTAGAAGCCCCAGTGCCGGGAAAAAAAGTGGATAAGGGTTGCCGGTGGGAAAGGGGTTAAATACTATTGGTGCGCTAAGCATGCACCAAAGTGGGCGGGGTTTGCCACAAAAACTCATGTCTCATAACGTCTTCTACAAGACCTCATAATTCGGCTCCGAGATGACTTAGAAACCTGAAAAAATATGTGAAGAGGTGTGTTGCGGATCGGTGGGTCCAGGAGGAGACTTAGGGCGCCCAAGGGGGGAAAAACCAGGAACCAAGTAAGAGATGAAGCACGTACAGCCTACCAGCCGGCTCTGCAGACACCTACTAGGGCGCTAGTGGACTAACAGCAGACCCTACCATAACCTACTTTAAGTCCTACCGATTGACCTAAGCAACACTACTTCAATTACCAACAAATATATGTGTCGGGCGCACACCCACATTGCTACACGACGCAAACACAAAGAACTAATAAAATTTATGTCTTAGCTTCTTATTTCATTCTACTGAACTACTCAACCAAAATCATGAATGAAATATAAAATGTTAGTACAAAATTAACTCACGTCGGGTCGCTTCCATCGACCCACCGCTCGACCACGATAGATTGGAATATAGAATTCTCGAATGTAGTTCTAAGGGCTAGAGCCCTACGAGTCTGCCGAAGAATACGACGACGGGGAAGAACCGATGACGAAGGGAACACCAGGCCAGGCCGTGATGGTGCCGATGCTACCGGCTCGTGCGCTGCCGCACGATCACGGAGAGATCAGGCTGGGTCATATCGGCAGATGCTCGTAGGCACCGGCGCGCCCAGGGCTCTGTTGGAGCGGATCTTCGTGTTTCGCGACACTCCTGCCGCAAAGGAACCCCTTGTGGGCATCAGTCTCAGGCCCCCGCCTGGAGACGTAGCGCTCGGTAGCTGCAGAAACCCGAATGCCAAAAGAAATATTGATTTTAATAAAAGTGGTCTTACGGCTAAGGTCTCTGAGAGAAACTCGAACTTCCTAACCTAACATGTTAGTTAAATAACCGTCGGCAATACTTCTTACAGTTAAGTGAACTATAATTAAGTAAAACATCTTCAATTAAAAATGGGTTAGTGCACAAAAACAACAAAAACAACATCAATAATAAAGTGTTAGTAACAACAATAACATCACCAAATAATGTTGAACTATTGTGAACTAAGGCGTAAACCACCAGACGTAAAGCACCGATAAAATTGAGCGGTGTAAACGAACGCACGACCTGAAGTAAACGAGGTAAGAAAAATAATAAAACGGAAATGAAAAATAAACTCAGGGATTTAAGGTCCTGAGATGGCGTAATTGAGCGTCGTAAACCATCGACATCAATACCCGGTGGAGAAACGCATTTGAACCTGAATTATCAAGGAGTCAAACACAACAAATAAGATTCAAAAGAAAATAAACTCAGGAATATGATATCCTGAAGTGAATTAAGCGCCATAACGAATCGACGTAGAGGACATGACAGAGAGAATCGCCAACTAATGAGCCATACGACTTCCTAAACAATCAAATTTAATATCACCTTAAACGAAACCGCCTACCCAATGACATCACTAATTGGCATCCTTGACATCGTCGTTGACTCCGTCGACCATAGATGAACCAACAATGAACTAGTGGACTAATGACAGCTTAAGTGAAAGGATGAACTAGTATCTTCATAACTTATCGACTAAACTATCAGCGTTGTAATAAATAAACTGGACTATTGAATTAGGTAAACATAACTGTGGGTTGGACTGAACTATTTGAACTAGCACATCTTTGCCTCACCAGGACTCATCGCTATTGGCTGGCGAGAACACCATTTGATGCCCCAGGCCCGGAGCCGAAGGCTCCGGAGAGCGTTCGCGCTCCGGTGGTGGACGATGGGATGGTCCCGGTTGGTCGGGATCAGCGTCCCTATCAATGTCGTGATAAGCACGCTCATACCGACGACGTGGGACCGCACCACGAGGGGGAGGACGATAGGTCTGAACCCTGGGGTCGTCGTAAAACGCCTCAGGAGTCAGATCTAGGTCGAAGACAGCGAAAGGGTTTTGGATGCAAAATGCCCTATCGTGACCCTCCTGGTGGCATATGCTACCAGGGGTCTTTACGGATGCATATGCCATAGTGTGACTTGAGGCGATTACTACACATGACATCCCGGGAAGCCAGATAAGCCCTGTCGCTGAGGTAAGGATAAGCATCACAATCTGAACTATAATGTCCTTCCTTCAGACAGAAGACGCAAGGTTCTACTCTTCCGTGTGATTCGGAAGGCACTGATCGCGTCATGAACCTGGAACGTGAGCGGTGTTGGATCGGTGCACGCTCCGCCGGTCTACGGGCTGAACTACGACTGACAGATCGACGCTCTGAGCTACGACGTGGTCTTGACGTGGGGGGCTCGACTTCACGACTCTCGCTTCCCATACCACGTTTCCTTGTGCCCGTTCCTGCGGGGTCGTAACAGGGCCTCGAGCTGGAGGTGGACTATTGTCCAGCCTGGGGGGGGGGGCACGACGACGATGGGATCCGTTGGCCATGAGGTAGGTGGTGCCAGTTTGGGGACCTCAATTGATCTCAATGGCTGACGAGGTGGAGGCTGAACTACATGACGATCTTGACCTCTGGCTTGCTCTTGAAGACGTCTATCCATGCTCGAGATCTGGGAGATACTCATCAGTAGTCCTTATCATAAGAGCCTCTGAATAGTTGTCGCGCCCTCAGCGAAGAGTTTGGATGTACGACTCTGGTTCTTCTGGCCAAGGGGGTGGCATCTGCACCCGCGAATCAAGCCTGTACTGCTCATCCTCTTGGGTGACTCTCACTCTTCTTCGATTGAGGAAGTGGACCATCTGGTGTGCTTCCATCACTCTTATCATGCGAGTGGCGTGAGCTGTAACGGGTGAACTATGCTGGAGTACCTCGGTGAACGTCTCCTCCGTTATGCCGAAAAGTTGGAGTGTGGCTCTAAAGTAGTCCAGATCTTGGGACCACTGAAAGAGCCTCGGCAACATGATCTCCTGGAGCTGATCTCGATTGACGGTGATAGACGTGATGCTGTGGGTCAACTCGTGAATCCATCCCATGAGGTGAGTGTAGCGAATCTCGAATGGTTGATGTCTCACCAAGATGACCGCGAGGTTATGGAACGACTGGGTGGTGTGCTGCACGATCTCCAGTAGAGTTTGAAGTACATGAACTATCCTCGCAACTGCCTTATAGTCTGAGGGACGGGCTGGTGTTGTCTCCCTGTCCGGTATTCTGATGCCGCGGATTCGATCCCTCAGAATGTTGTTCGTCGTGATGTAGTCGAACACTGTGCGAAACTGATGGGCCGTCAGTTCCTCGACGGTGTACGGTTCTACGTTGATTGTACTATGAGGTGTCACGTTCGGTTTCTTCATGAGTGACGTGGGTGCTGGATTGACTCTAAGGGGTCCGCCGGGTTCGGTGTAGAGTGGCCTCCTCCTAGAGTACTCTTCTAAAAAGTGGACTACGGCTTCCATCCTCTCCTTCTTCCTCTGAAGAGCCTTCTCCTTCTCTTCCTTTTTCTTCATCATACTAGCCCCTGCGGTGGCCATCTGATCGCAAGTGATCTCAAGCTGAGTGGTGGGCTTATTGGTTTCACCTGTATTAGCTGTGCTGGGCTCCCAATCGCTTGGGTTGACGTCGTGCTGTAGAGCGCTTCCTTCCTGAACTACCTCGGATGTGTCCATCTCTTCCTCTTGTGGCTTCTTCTTTTCCTTCTCGACACTTTGTTTTTCTACTCCCGATGAACTTTCCGACTCTTGCTTCTTCTGTTCCTTCTTCTCTTTTTTGGAAGCTTCTGCAGTAAGTCTTGCCGCTTCAGCTTGCACTTGCTGCGCCCACGACGTGTTAAGTAGAGGATCCTTGAACGGTGAAGAACCTCTAGCTCCTCTTTGGCCCTGCGGGCTTGAGGATTGGGGACGTGAACTAGCTGTACCACGCGGTTGAACCGGAGAGACACGAGTCGACTGCGGAGTGGACTGTCTGGAGTTTAGAGTGCTAAAGGTAAACCTACCTCTAGCTCCTCTCCTACGACTCCATCCGCGAGGTGCGCTCGGTGCATCCTTCTTCAGACTACCACCAGGCGAGCTCATAAAAGCAACGAGAACTTCAGATCGCACGAAAACAGACCAAGTTCTAAAAGGGAGCAGTCATTAGTAGGGTCCGCGGAAAATTACAAGGTTTACGCGATTGTTAGTTCAATTAAGAGGTTAATGAGGTTAGTATTGGGGAAGCCGTAATTAAAATGGTGAGATAAAAAAGGAAGTGTTAGTGTTAGTGAAATACTGAAAAATGTTAGTAATAAGATGTAACCGAACTTTAAATTTCACTGAAATTAAACATGATCAGAGACCTGAATCGATTGAAGTTCGGATCAAAATTATGTCATAAGAAACTACTTCAAAGAAATCAGGACTACTCGAATGCACGAACAAGTAAATCGATCACTAGTGATAGTTCACGATGAATAAGACAACAGGATGGGAATTGTAAAGAACCTACTAGTAACAAGAAAGAGTGCTTTAATGACTTGGTGAAGCAAAAAATTCAAATCCGAATCATGCAATTAATGAGTAATGTAGCCAATGAAGATGTGACTGCGTAAGTGTAATAATAGAAGTTTGATTAAACGTTAGGAGCGGTTAGTCCAATGAAAATACTCACAGTGCAGAAAAATCCGTAATTTAGATTTGACAAACTCCTCCAGCACGTGGAAAAAAGGAAAAGCAGAAACCTCAATGAACTACTAGATAAATGGAATGACCCCAAAGAAAGTGAAATAGTGAACCTAAGAAAAAGCTGATTCGAAAAGCGTCGTCCTGAAACACACCAAGATAAAAACTGGCGGACCTATTATTGACTCCCTATTTTTAGGAAACGATGTGACTAAACTCCTTTTCAATGAAGTAAATGATAGACAACACCTTGAAATAAAAATCACAATCATCTGAACAAAGAAACGCGAGACCCGAAAAAACAGTAACGAAGACGCCCGCCGACACCGGGTCTAAAATAGATTTTCGGATTCCGCATGCTAGCGCTGCGCGGACTTGCTGTACTTCGCGTCGGGACTCTCGTTGGTTATCTACTGCGCCCTAATAAACTTTATGCTTTGGCGTTTAGTCATTGAGTTCTTAACTTATTCTTATTCTATACTTCTACCTTAATCATGAGTTGTCTGAAAGTAACGAATACGGTGATGTGACCAGCATTCGAATGAAATCGAGAGTTGGAATTCTGGACTTGAGATATTTCGAAATACGAACATATCTAGAATGAGGAATGGAAAAAGTTAGTTCGGTAAGGTTAGTCATAAGGTGGAAATCAGATCATGGGTATGTTAATGATGTGATGGAAATGAGTAGGAGTTGTGAATTTAAGTCTGATTGTAAGTGTGGAGTACGAAATGTTGGCTACTCTTAGCCCTCGGTCCTTTTCGCCTTGTCGTGCTGGCGGTTGGAATCGTGTCTGAATTTTGGCGCTTTCTTCTGTAGTAAGCTTCGTGTGGGTCGCGTGTCGCCATACTTTCCAGAGATTCAGCTGATTGAGCGGATCGACATCGAGAACTGTGGTGTTTCCCTGTTGTTTTCTCCTTACTGGATCGGACTGATCCATCGATCCGATTCTGATTTGTATTAGAAGACCTAGTGCCATTTGCGACCTTTGGCATTCCCCGTTGAGAGTACCTACACTCACCGACTTGCCAATCTTTTGCACCTGTCAAGTATCTTTTGAATTCTTTCCGGCCAGGTTCGCGAACAATATTCCTCCCCAATGGTTCCAGAAATGATTCAGTTCCTGATATCCGTACATACGAAATCTCCATGTAGTCCCAAGATTATGCTTTTCGCCAACTTGACGTAAATCTCCTGATGGGAGGTTGAAATAGGTTAAATAGTCGATGGTGCGCGTTCCTGGAGAGTTGACGGGTAACGGTGACCTAAGTTTCGCGTAAATGCGCTTAATTGACGCAGTGAATGTATGTGCCTATGGTCGCTGACCAGCATGGCTGTGCGTTCTGACCCGTTTGTTGCCTACCACTCGGTGGTCCTTAAACTACTAAGTTGTCATGCTCCCATTATCCGCTTGCAGGGTGTCTAGGAAGTCGATCCACCCCCGAGCCCGTCTTGAAACTACGACAGTACGATGTAAGGATATCCGAAACGCGAAGATAGAGACTGGTCCGAAATCGACCTCAACCTAGTGCCAAACTTCAAATGCGTATTGCCTCGTTTCTTATTGAACTGTGACACAACGCCGAAACTCCAAGTGTCGCCATTTCGTGGTAAAACAGAACTGGCGCTGTGGTGAATCCCAAACTTGGTTACAGGTGCCTAACTTCCGCCATGAACCCAATCAAAAGCGTTGTTGATATAGACCAGCCTGACGGGCCAGAGACATCGTCACCCGCGGCGGTGCGGGTCTTGAAGGAGTGTGTAGCAACTACCTCCGAATCATACTAGCCTGGGAAAAGACGCTCTGAGTCGACCGGCGTATGAACCTATACGCCAGCCGTTGCTGATTGTCCTGTCTATCGCCCTGGCCGCAACGATAGAGGGCCGTGGCGGTTGGTAGAACGGCTTGGCGGACCCACGCTGGAGCTCGCACAGCTGCAGATTCGGTGGTATAGTCAAATATGTTAATTCGATCCTTGAAGACAATGGCAGAAGGTTCCACGTAAACATAACGTAATGGTCAGTCATCCTAAATACTGCTAAAGCTGTATCATTTAAGAAACATTCTATTCTCATCGGAACAACAAGAATAGGGTAATATCCATAACGCAAACCACAGATTGTACCTCATCTGATCCACTTCCTAAACCGCAGCGCCTGTACGCGTCGCTCAAAGCCCGAGTCTAGAGTTCCTCTCTATTAAAGCAACGGACTCCGGAACTCGGTTCAGACCGTTAATAGGGACGTTGTTTCCGTAAAGCATCGCGGTCCGTATTATCGTCCTGGACGCCTTGAAAAAAACCAAAGGAAGGCCTGTTAATCGTGCTGCATCACCCCGATTAATCCGCATCCAGTCTCCAAGGTGAACAGTCAGGCCTCTAGTCGATAGAAATACTGTAGGTAAGGAACTGCAAATTAAATCCAGAACCTTCGGACAAGGATTGGCTCCAGGAACGGCGTGGCGCTGTAAAGCTGGATGCTTGCGTTTCGTCGTGCCCGCGAGCTACACGCTATGTGCGACTACGACAGAGTACGCCTGGGAACGTTTCAGTGTTCTTTCTTTCGCTTACCATTCCTGCACCGTTGGGAGTCCAATCAAAAACACAATCCGATATCTGGAATACGGTACGTGGGACTCGGGAATCCGACTTCTATTACACCAACATGAGGTAGACAGAGGTCCTTCCGGACGGTTACGTCTCTGATTCTCTGCCTCAGTGCTCTGAATTTTAAATCGTAGTAATTCGAGTAGCGGGTAACGGCGATGTAACATCAGACGTCTCTTAAGTAGCCAAATGCCTTCGTCAGCTAACTACTACGGCGCATTAGTGGCCACGCTTCGTACGCTTAAGTCGTTCCCTAACTAGTACCTCATACGCGAGGTGCGGACGCTTCGTACGTCTTAGTCGTTCCCCTAGTAACTCATACCGCGAGTTGTCGAGTTTTTCGACAAGTGTGAGGCTAAAGCGAAGCGGGTGCTCAAAGCGAGAAAGACGGCTTGCGAGAGAAGTGGCCGTATTGAGCATTAATGATGTTAGACGGTCAGTCGCCCAGGGCACTGACTGCGCAATCTGACCCCACTGACCCTGGCAACGGGCACGACGCCCTACAGGCGAGGGGGAAGAGAAATCTCTGGTCCGCTTGCGAACTGGAGAAACTCTCACGTCTCGTTGAAGAACACCGACGTGGGGACCGGATTGATTGGCCGTCCCTTGCGCAAGCATGGGATAGTACAAGAAATCCGGGCGACGCGCGCAGGACGGTGAATGCTCTAAAGAGCATGCACGCGAAGCGTCGCAGGGAACAGAGAAGAGCGGGGGCTAGTGTACCGCTCGGACCTGATCTAACAGAGGAACTCCAGGGAAGTACTTCCCAGGAGGGCTCTACCCCAGATGTTGGTCCTCCGGATCCTCCGGAGTTGATCACCGCTCATCCTGTGGTGCCGAATCTCGTGGAAACGCTAGTCCAGAGATTCGATGTTTACTACAAGGTAGCCATAAGTTCCTATGATAGGCGTGCTGTAAGGAGACCTGAGGGAGAAATCCCAAAGGACCTCCTGGTTGCTGGTAACGCGGTGCTTGTCCGCAAGCTAGAAGAACTACCGGCTTCCAACGGACGTCAGAGCTTATCCAGGTTGAACGCTGCAGTGTATGCAATTGCGCGAGCGATTGCTGCTACAGCGGACGAACTGAGGCGAGAACATATGCCTGACGATCCCAAACACCGCCTTATGGAACTTTTCGAACAACGGAGGTCACAGCTGAGTATCGTTTCGACACTTAGCGAAGAACTCCGAAGACGCAAAGCACTGCGCCAGCGAAAGGAAGGGGCCATGCTAAGGCCCAGCCAGAATTTCCTCCGAATAGCGGCAGTGCATAAAATCCGACGTCGCGGAGAGTTGGGGCGAGTATTACGGATGTTTAAAGACCAACTAAACGTGACGCAACTCGAAATCAGGAAGTGTGAGGAAACCCGACGTCGAATGCTAGTCCGACGGAAGGGAGCTTCCTTCGTGGTCCATGAGCGTGCGGAATGCCCCTCGACGGTGCCTGTCGCCGGTGTTCGTGAATACTGGCAGCCGATCGTTGGGCTGTCCAGACCATTCGATGTAAGCTCCGAGCTTGAAGATTGGTCAAGGACCTTAGGATCACTACCGCGAGAGACGCCTCTTCGTTCCGAGGAGCTGACCGAGGATGCCTGGAAGACCTTATTTACTAAGGTCCGACCTTGGAAAGCTACCGGTCCGGATGGTATCCAAGGCTTCTGGTGGAAACATCTTCCAGAAGCTAGGCTGCGGCTAACATCTTGGTGTCTACGGGCACTACGGCAGCCGAGAAAGTCGATCCCGAACTGGCTTTGCCAGGGTAGGGTGGTACTGATACCAAAGAAGAGAGGTGACCCTAACACCCTTGGACCTGGGGACTTCCGACCTATTGCATGTTTGAACACATGCTATAAGATCTTGACTGGCATGATGGCAGAACATATCTCCAAAGTAGTAGGAGACCGGTTTCCCGGTAGTCAAGTTGCCCTACGAAAAGGAGTTTGGGGTTGCACTCATGCACAGATACTAGACCAGACCATTGTCAAGGATGCAGAGAGACATAAGAACGAGCTGCACATGCTCTGGGTCGACATGACTAAGGCGTACGATTCCCTGCGACATGGTGCCATTAAATGGGCTGTGAAGCAGTGGGGCGTGCCATCGGACGTCCGACGTCTTCTGTCGACCATTATGTCACTTCAGACCGTCCGGTACTATGGTTATTCGAATGGGCGTCAAGTCAAGAGTCGTCCTTTGCAGATCAGAAATGGTCTTATGCAAGGCGACACGTTAAGCCCATTGCTATTCTGTCTGACCATAGCGCCGATCTCGGCGTGGATCCAGGCTAACATCAAGCCGTACCAGACGAAAACCGGTTCAGGGCCTCGCTCTGACGGTGCCTTACAGGCCAGCCATGTGTTCTACATGGACGACCTTAAGGTGTGGACGCCAGACTGGGAAAACTTGATGAAGGCTCGCAAGGGGATCCAGCGAGTCGCCGGGCAACTCGGGATGAAGATGAACATGAGCAAGTGCGCAATTCGGTCGATCAATTCCGAAGACATGGGGCGAGATCACGTCGCTGAGGTAGGGTCTATCCCGATCCTCGGAGGCGCCGAGGTCTATAAGTATCTGGGAGCTGAGCAGACTGGGCTTGTCTGCTTTGAGGAACTATGGTCTCGGGTCGCAGAAAGTGCGACGGCTACTGCCAGAAGATTGTTCTTTAGTAACCTGACGGTACGCCAGAAGGTGAACGGGTTCAATCAGATGGTTGTACCGAAGCTCAAGTATGCGTTCTCGTGCATAGTCTTTGGAGCGGGTAGGTTCAAGACGCTGAGAGTGCGAGCCCGTAACTTCGATTTGGAGATGCGACGACTGCTAGTAGAGTCTCTTATGAGATTCAAAAACAGTTGTTGCGCGCGCCTCTATGTCGGGAAAGAAAGTGGAGGTCTAGGAATGAAGTTAGTAGAGGAGGAGTTAGAACAGAGTGTCACGTACACTTGGTGCTACCTCGCCACGAACACGGATTTTCTAGTTTCGTTCGAGTTGTCGGAGCGTCTACGAGCGAGTACGAAGCGATCGATAACGTCTGACTTCCAGGCTGTAATGGCCGCTAACGGGTTAGACGGTCGCGTGTCTCGAACGGTGATGGCGACTATTGTAGTAGACAACCAAACGTTCTTCACGGCTACGAAAGCGGCAAGAGCGGTGTCTAAGCTGATCCGAGAGAGATGGGCGAAAGTCCACCTCAATGACTGGAAAGGCAAAGGTACTGCTGGGCGAGTGCTGCAAGAACGCGGGCGTGATGGTAACCTGACCGGACTATGCCTGAAGGATTCGTTCCTTTGGTCCGTGAATGGTCGGGTGTCGTCGGAAGTTCTAAGAAACGTTTGGGGTGCCCAGGAGGCTTCACTCCTCACCAGAAGTAGTGCCAGTGCAAGATCTATGGCGCTTGCTGGTGACGGTTTGTGCCGTATGCGCTGCGGACCCTACGCAGAGACCGCCGAACACGTTGTCTCCGCGTGTGGCTACTGGCGGACCAGCCTTATGGTCGAAAGACATGATGAGGTAGCTAGGGTCTTATATTCCGCGATCAGGCGCAAGTATAACATCTCGGAAGTAGTGAATACCCACCGACCACATGTGGTCGAAACATCTGACGTGGTTATTCACTGGAATGATAGCATTGTCACGAGCGAAGGACTAAAGCACAATCGCCCTGACCTTTTGGTCTGGGACAGGCGTGCTGAACGGATCTGGATCATCGAGATTTCGGTCTCATGGTACACCCGTGTCCTAGCTCAGGAACGCCGTAAGCTCGGGAAGTATGCTGTGAACAGCACTCTACCTGAGGAGACTGGACCAGATGGGTTCCATCCAGGCCCAAATCTCCGCGCAGTCCTTCAGAAGGACAGAAAGAGCCGGGTAGATGTAGTTCCTATTGTCTTAGGGGCCTGCGGTGAAGTAACACCGAACCTAAGGCAGTACATACGTTCCCTTGAGCTTCGAGACAATGCTAGCGACCTGATCGAGCGAATGCAGCGTTGTGCCATCCTCGGAACAAACCGTTTGGTGAAATGCCATCTCGCCAATAGAGTGGAGTGAAGAGAGGTGAAGGAGGACCTTGGAGTCGCAGTGGAGTAAGCAAGATGTACTAGTGCTGATGTACCAGTCAGTTCGCCCGGACTGTGTTAGTACATACGCTGAAAAACTGCAATGGACTCGACATGTTTAAGGTTGTCCACGGGGAGGTAACAGGCTAGTCTCTGCGTTCAAAAATCCAAAAAAATAGATAAAAGCAAAAACCCTAAAAATAATAAAACACAAAACCCAAAAAAATATAACGCAATAGCGTTTGTATATAATTGTACAGCATATTATTTGTTAAGTGCGTACGCACTTGTATATAATTTAATGGTGCTACAGCACCTGTATATAATTGTACATAGTTGTACATAAGTGTAAACAGCTGTACATAGATGTATATAATATAGTAGTTCGTATAGTAGCCCTAGTCGCAATTTACGGGTTTTTGTTCTGCTAGTTATCTATTAGTTTTGGAATTCCACCGTGTTCTACGCGTGGGATGTTAATTATGCATACTATGTATGCGAAAAATATACGCAGAGTGTTACCCCAACCCCGGCTCGGTGTAAGACGTCGGACGTCCGATGCTAAGTCCAATCTCGTAGTGTTCAGATAAGAACAGAAACATCAGATAGAGTAAGGTAGTAAGTGGGGCCACTTGGTCCTGGGGCGGTAAGCTAGAACACTACGAGGGCTTGATGGACGAGGTGTCACCTAGGAAAGTGAACGTGATGAGTACTAGGACAGTGACGGAGTACGGAATAATCCGGGTAAAAGCCTGCCTGACGGCGCAAAAGAATAGCGAAACGGGCTGATCTAGTACCATCTGGTGCATTGCACTCCCAAAAGCACCAGAGAGCTGACCTAGTAGCTGCTACAGGAGTTTCCGATGGCACGCCTGGAGTCGGGTCCCGGGGGAGCGGCCAATTCGCGTTTGCTTCGCGGCTCGCGACGCGGGCGGTTGTTAATACAGTCTGCCACACAGGCAAACACCTGAAAGTACCCCCATGACCCGTGGCATCGTTCGTCTTTGAACGCGAGAGCGGGGCGCGTCGAGTAACTGGTTTCGGTGATTTGGCAAATCCAGGACACTCTCTATGGTGTTACTGATCAGGATACATCCGACCATTAGAGACAGACAAGAGGAGGAGGATAGTGCTGACGCGCATGGCAATGAATTAACCGAGATTCCCACTGTCCGCAACTAACATATCTAGCGAAACCAGCAGCCAAGGAACGGGCTTTCGGTAAAAATAGCGGGAAAGAAGAACCTGTTGAGCTTGACTCTAGTTTGACATGGTGAAGAGTCATGAGAGGTGTACATAGTGGGAGACTTTCGGTCGCCAATGAATATACACCAACTTTCATCGATTCTTTACTTATTCGGTTAGAAGAGAAATTGAGCTCCGGCTCTTTTTTCTTTGTCTTAAGCAAAGCCACCTGGTGGCATTGCGACTCTCGCGAAGACAGTGTCAGGCGGAGTTTGACTGGGGCGGTACATCTGTCAAACGTAACGCAGGGTCCCTAAGCTAGCTCAGAGAGGACGGAAACCTCTCGTAGAGCAAAAGGGGCAAAAGCTCGCTTGATCTTGACTTTCAGTACGAGTACAGACCGCGAAAGCGTGCCTATCGATCCTTTTATCCAGATGGTTTCTGGTAAGAAGTGTCCAAAAAGTTAACCCAGGGATAAACTGCTCTGGCAGCCAAGTTCCGTACCATAGCGACCGTCTGCTTTTTGATCCTTCGATGTCCGGCCTTCCTTTATCATTTGCGAAGCAAGGAATTTCGCCAAGCGTTGGATTGTTCACCCACTAATAGGGAGTACTGTTAACCGTCGTGAGACAGGTTAGTTACCTACTGTTACTAATTGTTGCGATAGTAATTTCCTGCTATACGAGTAGAACAGCAGGTTTCAATAACATTTGGTTCAATGAACCTTGACCGATCGTCAATGTCGCGAAGCTAAACATCAAGATGAGGGAAGAGTATGACTTAACATGCACTCGGAAGCGATAACAAGAAGACAAAACCAGCATAGTACAAAGACACACGCGCGGATCAGACCTGATAAAAGAGTATCACTCAAGAACAAATAAAATACATAGAGGATGATAAGGAGGATAAGGAATCAAAGAGAAAAAAAAGATAACAGGCTCAAGACAGAGACAAACTAAAGCTCCAACGAAAATGATAAATGGGAAATTTACAATTCGTGGATGACGCAACGAGCGAAAACAGAGGAAAAATAGATAAAGAAAAATCCGAACTAAAAAAAAGATAGAGAGAAGGAAAAGAATAAAAGAAAAGAGATAAAAGAATAAGATGTCGAGCTGTGTGAAACGATCGAAGGGGAAGGAACAAAACAGTCTCACTCATATGACGAAGAGTAAATGAGAGCATCAATGCGCGTAGCTATATCAAATACCTGCACCAGGGTAATGAGAAAAAAGACCCTTGACAGTGTTCCAAAGCCAGATCACTATCGTGGAATCAAACTATGTCAAGCGCGCACAAATCACAAGTAAGTCTACGAACATGTAAAAACTGGAATCAACAAACAGGTTTTGTAACTAGTGTAAGACACACACAGATAGAACATGTGATATCAGGATATTGTAAAAAAACTAACATTTGTCGCGATCGTTGAGCCTAGTGTCCTTGATCGGAGATTATTGTTGATTCACACGCTAATACAAATTAATTAGACAGTATTTTAACTTTCCTTTGCTCATTTCGTACAGTAGAGCAATTTTTCTAAGTGTCCAAGAAACCGAGAAAGTTGAATAATGAATCATGAATAACCCAAATCGACTAAGAATAGATACAACAGCTATAGTAGTCTCTAACTAATAGGTTGTTGTTGTTTAAAACAATTACCAAAGCCATGTAACAAGACAGATCGAAAATTGTGAAAACAACCACCTCACTCGTGATGAGCGTACATAATACCACAATGTTTCCCTATCCCTCCAAAAACCAAAAATCAATTTTTACAATAGTTTTCTCTCAATGCTGATAAGAAAAACCTGTAAAGATTATGGAACAGAATCTCAAGCAATAAGTTTGACGATAGGAATACTATTTAAATAACAACGCTCGGACATCAGTGATGGTGATATCAGTGGTCACCATAATGGTTTCCTCTATGTGTTGTGTATATTTGAGTTCACCAATTTTGAGATAGGAATAATTTGAAACAACCCATAGTATGGTGATTTACAATGGTCCACCATATTTGTTTTCTAGGTGTTGTGTATAATTTGAATGTCAACAGTTTGCGAATAGAATTAGTATTGAAACCAACCAAAGTGATCGTGATTACCAAATGTCCCCATATGGATTCCCTATGTTGATTTTGTATATTGATTTCAAACATGTTTGGAGATTAGAATAAATGTAAAAAAGCTATAGTAAGTGATTAACCTTAAATGGTCACCAATACTGGATTCTCTCCATGGTTATTGTGTAATCTTGAATGTTCAATCATGTTCGGAGATAGAATGATTGTGAAATATTCATATTCAAAGCATATATTGAGTTTGGAGATGTGGACATGATTATAGTTAATCATGGAGAAAGAGTAATTTCAATATCATATATAACCTATAAAAATAAATATGGATATATGATAAGTATCCAATATGTATATTAATGAATGTTTTCTATTTAACCAGTATAATCAGTTTTAATAATCTACGCAGCCCGCTTACTGTGGATGGTCGCGGCTGTTATGTGAGGTGGGATGAAGACACTTTTCGTTTTCGACGAGAATGATTTCCTGTGTTTCCCAAAGTTCACGAATGAAAAAACGGGTATCGTTTATTGCCAATGTGATTTCCAATATTTGAAAGTTTTAGCTTGCGAAAATGCAAACATTGTGAAATTCATGGTGCGATGTTTCAAGTAAGACTACTGCACAATGCTAGTAATAAAAAACTCTATCCAAGGACCAAGTTGTCATGAGATTGTTCACAAATGAACCAAAATTCGCCAAGGCACAGGTAAGGGTCAACTTTATAACACATACGATACATAGATTCTGTCAGCGCTAATAGCCGGGTGCGTCATTTAGCAATGATAAGCATGCATAGTCGATTCATGCTTAAAAAAGATAGAAGCTGGACAGAACCGGCCTCAGTTACAAGAGCCACTATCGATTTATTCTAACAAGGTCCTATGGATAACTGTCGGCGTAGGTGTTCTGGAGCTACATACGAGTACGATTTAAAACCTCGACGGTGAAAGAGCAAATTCATTAAGGATAAATTATCTTCGGATGAAGTTCTGGACCTGAATGAACGAACATATTTCGCAGCTTCGTATACGCGCGAGAGTGCCAAAGAGCCAAAAGACTCCCCTAATACGACTGATGAGTATCTATTAAATACACTACCATGTTAATTACGGGTAAACAAGATACATAAGGAGGTGGCAACACGAGGAGCGATGGCCTACACAGCGCTACCGACAGGGGAGGTCCAGAACAAATCAGCGCGAAACCTATATGACCCAACGTCTGAAAGAGATGAGATAGTGAACTAAAAAAGTTAAAAAAGGCACCCATTCTATGAACGGTCATTTCAAAGATGATCATAAACCTTTTTTCGAGACAAGTGAGGGCAATCTGGTGCCACAGCCGCGTAATTCAGCCCAACTAGTTAGTAAATCTTCTATTGCTTTGGCGCTTAAAAAAGCTCAGTAGTTGATCTGAGTATTATCATGCAGTGGCTTCAGCCCCCGCTTATGCGCTTAAATGCTGTTGTACCTATTGCGGTTTTGCTACGGATGTTTCGGCTTCTTTAAGTGCTTCAGCGAGTGTTACCGGGTATCTTTGAATAAAATAGAGTCTCAGTAACAAGCGTTTGCTTAATTCGATCAAGAATAATAAAAACGCGGACTTTTCGGTCTATTATGGTTCAGCAACTGAAATTAAATGTCAGAGGTGACAACTTCGGGCATTCGTTATCCGCGCGAGAAGTGAAATTCTTGGACGCGCCGGGACCGGAAGCCCTAAAAGCGACCCAGACCCCCCCCCATTATGCCAAGAATGGGTCTCATTAATACAATGAACGAAAGTCACCCGTTCGAAGGCGATTAGTTACCTGCCCTAAGTTTGACGGTAACAATGCCATCTAGCGAAGTCTCGATGGGTATTTTGCCTTGTGTCGATGAAGCTTCCCGCCGAAACGAAAGTCCTTTTGTTTCTGGGTATATGGTTCAAAGCCTGAAACTTAACAGAAATTGACGAATGGCACCACCAGGAGTGGAGCCTGCGACTTAAACCTTGACTCAACACGAATCCTGAGTGGGAAACTCACCCGCCCGGACAACTCCGTAGAGATTGACAGATTGAAAGCTCTTCTCGAATTGGTGGTTGTGTGCATCGCCGTTCTTAATTGAGCGAGATTTGTCCTGGTATATTCCGATAACGGCGAAACCTAGCCCTCTAAATTAGTGCTGGATATTATTTATTATCTCAGTCTACTCTTAAGATAACGTGTTTAGACCGCAACAAGATGGAGCGATAACGAGTCTGAAATGCCCCTTAATGTCCACGTCGGCTGCACACGCGCCCACAATGGATAGAAACAGCTGCCTAATCCAGTTGCAGAAAGGCATTGGTAAACCGATTGAGAACGTCTTCGTGATCGGATAAGATGGATTTGTGCTTAATGATTTCCCGAATTGAACGAGGAATTTCCTAGTAAAGTGTGAGAGTCCAATCAAGCTCACGCTGATTCAGTCCCTGCCATTTTTCAACCGAGAACAGATCAAATCGATGCGCTCAGAGTCACAATCAGGGATACATAGAAAGCACTTGTCTCTTGAGCAGAGACCTGCTCAAGGAACAATAGACATGTCTTACACTAACGACGAGACCTCTACGAAACACTACGCACGAAGGAAAACTGCACCGAAACAGAGCGAAACATCGCAATGATCGCTTTAACGAGTGTAAAAAGTCTACCAAAAAAGGATATCCTTCACGAAAACCTTGACTAGAATGACATCAATTCATCACACGAAACCAAACCACATGTTCCTCCTGGATAATAGTGAGAAAACCCAACAATGCAAAGATTTTCACGTACTTTGTCGGGTGAAAAACGTTGGAGTATCACGCTTAAAGCTCTATATTTGCGGTTCTATTATGACATTATCGTTCAGAGTGGCGACTGTATTGTTCATCAAAAGTTCCCATTCCAATGGTTGTTTATGGTTGAGCTAGACTTAATGAAGTATCTGCTATAGCAACCGCCTCATATCATTTATACTTGGTTATGTCCATACGGTGTATATGTACGCGTACCTGGTTGTCAGGAACCTTAATGATCTCGCCTAACCGCCATTATAAAACACAACTTTTTATGTTTAATCAATTTATAGTGTGTTAGTACCCAATACGTGTATATACGGTAACCTGATATCAGGAAACCTTAATGATCTCGCCCTAACCAACCCAACATAATAAAACACAACTTTTATGTTTGATCATTTATAAATGGTGGTTATGTACATACGTGTAGTAGTACGTTGTACCGGTTCTGTCCAGGAAAAACCTTAATGATCTTCGCCTAGAACGCCCATATAAAAACCAACTTTTTTTATGGTTTATCATTATAGTGGTGGTATGTACATACGTGTAGTATGTGCTGGTACCTTGGATATCAGGAAACCTTAATGAATCTCCCTAGACGCCACAAAAAACACTTGTATGTTGATCATATAAGTGGTTATGCTACAATACGTGAGTATGTAACGCTACCTGGGCTTCAGGAAACCTTAATTGATCTCGCCTATACGCCATTATCAACACAACTTTTTATGTTAATCATTTATAGGTGGTGGTTATGTACATATTGTAGTATGTACGGCTACCTGGCGTGTCAGGAAACCTTAATATCTGCGCCTAGGCCACGACCATTAAAACAATTTATATGTAATATTTAGTGTGGTTAGTGACATATGTGCTAGTATTGTTACGGCTACGTAGGAAACCTTAATGATCCGGCCTAGACGCCATATATAACAAACACAAACTTCTTATGTTTAAAGTTGTCAGAATGTGTACAACAGAAATGTGTCAACACTTGACTAGCTTCAGCGATGGATCGTCGATTCGCGTATCGATGAAAAACGCAGCTAGCTGCGTTATTTTACACGAATTGCAGACGCTTAGAGTGTAAAATTTTGAACGCATAGCGCCGTTGGGTTTTCCCTTCGGCACGTCTGGTTTCATGTTTGTTAATGAAACGACTACAGTGGGCTAGTTCATAACACTGTTTGTCGAATGGTATTTATTACTTTATTGTGATATTCCCATTCCATTCAAGAATATGAAATACAACATGACGTTAACATTGTTAACGTTACTGAATGATACTGAATATATTACCACTATTTGAATGTACTCAATGAATATGAGATTGATTCAAATAGGGACATGTATGGTATTGTATATCAATGTATCATTTATATATTGCACACCTGAACTCAGGCGTGATTACCCGCTGAACTTAAGCATATCATTTAGCGGAGGAAAAGAAACTAACAAGGATTCCCTTAGTAACGGCGAGTGAACGGGGAGAAGCCCAGCGCTGAATCTTACAGTGTTACACTGTTAAGAAATGTATCGTATAGATATAATTTTCAGTTTGTGCTACATGTCCAAAGTCCCTTTGATAGGGCCACAATCCTGAGAGGGTGCGAGACCTGTGCGGACAGTGGAGCAAGCTGTACGATTATAATCTTAGAGTCGGGTTGCTTGAAGTGCAGCCTAAAGTGGGTGATAAACTTCATCTAAGGCTAAATATAGACGCGAATTCGATAGCAAACAAGTACTGTGAAGGAAAGTTGCAAAGAACTTTGAAGAGAGAGTTCAAGAGAACGTGAAATCGCTGGAGTGGAACCGGAAGAGTTGACGTAACCGGGTAACTAAGTTCCTAATGTCGCTTAATTGTGACTGCAGGTGATGTATGTGCCTATGTTTCGCTGACAGCATTGCCTGTGCGTTCTGCCCGTTTGTGTTGCCCACTTCGTGGTGTCTTACTTACGGTTAAGTTTGTCATGGCTAATTTTTTATCCTGCTTGCAGGGTGTCAGTGTGAAAGTCGACCACCTCTCCGACCCGTCTTGAAACACGGACCGAGAGTGTAACTGTACGCGAGTCAAAGGGTGGTTAAACCCTAAGGCTAATGAAAGTAAAGGTCGGTTAACCGGCTGACATGGATCTACTTTTCGAAGTAGCGCACCATGGCCCTGTCTTGTCTGCATGCAGATGGGCAGCGGTAGAGCGTACAGGTTGCGACCCGAAAGATGTGAACTATGCCTGAGCAGACGAAGTCAGAGGAAACTTGATGGAAGTCCGTATCGGTTCTGACGTGCAAATCGATCGATAGACTTGGGTATAGGGGCGAAAGACTAATCGAACCATCTAGTAGCTGGTTCCCTCCGAAGTTTCCCCCAGGATAGCTGGAGTTCATCGCGGTTATATCCGGTAAAGCGAATGATTAGAGACTTGGGGTCGAAACGACCTCAACCTATTCTCAAACTTTCAATGGGTATGTTGTCTCGGTTTCTTTATTGAACTGTTGACACGAACGCGAGCTCCCAAGTGGGCCATTTTTGGTAAGCAGAACTGGCGCTGTGGATGAACCAAACGTTGGGTTAAGGTGCCTAACTTCTCGCTCATGAGACCCCATAAAAGGCGTTGGTATATATGGACAGCAGGACGGGGCCATGGAAGTCGGTACCCGCTAAGGAGTGTGTAACAACTCACCTGCCGAATCAACTAGCCCTGAAAATGGATGGCGCTTGAGCGAGAGACCTATACCCAGCCGTTGCTGGCTTGTGCGTTGTCTATCGCCTGGCCGCAACGAGTAGGAGGACGTGGCGGTTGCGTCGAAGGCTTTGGGCGTGAGCCCAGCTGGAGCTTCCGTCAGTGCAGATCTCGGTGGTAGTAGCAAATATTTAAGTTCGATCCTTGAAGACTGAAGTGGAGAAGGGTTCCACGTGAACAGTAGTTGAATGTGGGTCAGTCGATCCTAAGATACTGGCTTATGCCTTGTATCATTGAGAGGGAAAAGTTTCTTTCTCTCGATATCAAAAGGAATAGGGTTAATATTCCCTAACGCAGACACAGAGATTGTGACTCATTGAGTCACTTGCGCGGTAACGCATTCGAACTTGGTTACGTCGCTCAGAGACCGAGCTAGAGTTCTCCTTCTCTAGTTAAGGAACGGACTCCCTGGAATCGGTTCAGCCGTAGATAGGGACGTTGTTTCCGTAAAGCATCGCGGTTTCTGTGATGTCTCGTGTTCTCTGGACGGCCCTTGAAAAACCAAGGAAGGCTATTAATCTGTGCTGCATCGTACCGATATCCGCATCAGGTCTCCAAGTGAACAGCCTCTAGTCGATAGAATAATGTAGGTAAGGGAAGTCGGCAAATTAGATCCGTAACTTCGGGAAAAATTGGCTCCAGTGACTGGGTCGGTTGGCCTGTTAACTGATGCTTGTGCGGTTTCGTCCGTGGCTGGCTGATGCTTACGCTGATGCTGGACTAGTGACAAGACTGCCTTGTGACGTTTTCAGGTGTGTGCTTTGTCTTCGGGCTTAGTATCCTGACCGACCATCAAAACAGTCGAACTGGAACTGGTACGGACTCGGGGAATCCGACTGTCTAATTAAACAGAGAAACAGATGGTCCTTGCGGACGTTTACTGTCTCTGATTGTGCCCAGTGCTCTGAACGTTAATCGAGTAATTCGAGTAATCGAGTAAGCNCGGGTAAACGCGGGAGTAACTATGACTCTCTTAAGGTAGCCAAATGCCTCGTCAGCTAACTACTGACGCGCATGGGAAGCGATTCCAGCTGCCACCTCCGAGAGGTGCTTCCCGGGCAACGTTACACGAGTGTGTAGCGGCCAAGAGCAGCCTTACCTTGGATAATAATATCCATTGCATACCATGCTCCGTCGAGCATAGGTAATGGAAACAATAGCTAATTAGCTATTGCATTCATAAAAAGCCTCTTGTAGGCTGGTGTGTCTAGTGCAAAAAGGCAACTGTAGCAGTTGCCACCGCCCGCTTTACATTTTTTAATTATTAAACCACCCAATAGCGGGCGGTATAACCTAACGATCCAATGCTTGGTTCAAGTGTTGGGTCTCACTAGGGGAATTATGCCCCAGTGGCATAAGAATAGGATATTAATAATAATTAATATTTCTCAATGTTTAATTTGCAGATGTCTACTGTAAAGAAAACTAGCAGCAATGATGGTGCGGATAAATATGTCGAGGTCGATATAGTTTCATTTATGAACTGCATCCGCCCACGGTAAGTCAATTTAGATTTACTACATTATGGTAATAGGCTAATATTGCACTATTCCAGAGGACCGAAATTTTCGGTGAATAGAAAGAGAATTATCAAGCTCGTTGACGATGCTGCCGCGAAATCTGTCCAAGAGAACGCGCAGCTCAAGAGCAAGATAAGCGAACTGGAGGCTGAGCTCAAGAGGATGAAGGAAGCCAGCCACAAAAAGCGAGATGCGGAAAGGGCTGAGCAGCCGCAGCCCCAGAAGAAACGTAAATCCGCACCCGCTGCTGCGATGGATACTGATGGTATTGAAGTCGTAGAAAAGTGATCTGTTTGAATAAATGTGTTTTTCCTATAATGTAACATTGGTTCTATGGTTCAGACCTTGAATATTGTGTTGCTTATAAAAATACATTGCTTATTTCATTGGATCGTTAGGTTGTCAATTTTAGGGCACCTTAAGAAAGCAGGCGGTGGTCATGGCTACAGTAGCCTTAACACGGACCAAGTTGGTATTGTCCCCATGGGACAAAATAGGCAAATCATCAGTGATGATGATTTGATGGCATCAGCAAAAGAAGACTCTATGAAAACAGAGTCTGGACTAGATCTAAGAAATAATAGGCATAACGCCTATGTGAAGTACGTTGGATCTGAGAGTATCAAAACGCACCACTACTAATAGGTGCGATTGGAAATAAAATGACTCTGGGGCAACAGAGTCTGCATCTACAATGGTGAAAAATTGGAGGAGCTTAATAGCTCGACTCCATGGCTAAGACCGAAAGGTCTTGGTATGAAAATGTTGTAGTCTTAACACGGACCAAGTGCATTGTCCCTATGGGACAAAATAGACAAATCATCAGTGATGATGATTTGATGGCATCAGCAAAACAAGACTCTGTGAAAACAGAGTCTGGATTAGATTTAACAAATAATAGGCATAACGCCTATGTGAAATACGTTGGATCTGAGAGTATCAAAACGCACCACTACTAATAGGTGCGATTGGAAATAAAATGACTCTGGGGCAACAGAGTCTGCATCTATAATGGTGAAAAATTGGAGGAGCTTGATAGCTCGACTCCATGGCTGAGACCGAAAGGTCTTGGTATAAGCCAAGAAACTGATCGGGGAAAACCCGCTTGTTCGTTTGGTTGATAAAATAGTAATGGAGGAGCAGGAATGCTCGACTCCTTGGTGAAGTCAGTGGAGCAGTAACATGCTGAAGACTAAACAAAACACACCCTGGCCTGGCCAGTTGGTTTACCAACTGGTTGCCAAGCTAGGCTACATGCTGAAGTAGCAGTATGGATTATCCCAGCTGCTCTCAGTATGTGCCCTAGCTAGTGGTGGTGTTGCTTAATGGACTATGGTCTTTATGACTTGCGGGGTTTGTATCCTGCGATCTGTTGAGAATATCCCCTGGTCGGTTTCTTGAGCCCTAAGAAGCCTGACGTATTTTAACCTGCCAGGTTCCGGACTTAGGCGATTCAGGACCGATCAGAGAGTGGGACTGTATAGAGGTTCGTTGAACCTAACTATACAAAGGAAAGAAGAACCTCCATTGGAGGTGGAGTGAAGGAGTAAGGTAGTTATCAAGCCATGGAAATGGATAGAAACAGAAGAAAGAGGCCTTGCCTCTGTTCTGGAAGGCCACTAGTGGTGGAGACTGCTAGAGGGCCCTAAGAGAGTTTCAGCTGGAACTTCCTCTTGCGAGGGTGTACCTGAGTAGGAGTAAAATGGTTGTGGCGATGTCACAACTAGACACATATGATCGAACTCTTCAATGCAAGAGTTGTTTCTGAAAGATATATGGAGCTCAAGTTGCCGTAAGTCCCGTAAAGACGTTGAGTCTAGGGCGGAATGGTGACTAGTTCGCAATGGCTTGTTCGTTGTGAGCATGCTAGGAGCAAATATATCTGGAGGAAACCCGCAGTAATGCGGTAACAACAAGCCTTCTTGAGGAAGGAGGTAATTTGTGTAAGGATGTCGGGTGAGACCCCGTTCCTCAACGCAGCTTAGGCACACAAGTGGTGCACCTCATGAATGGCTTGTTCATTCATGAGGATCTGCGGTCTGAGGATGCAACCTTGCATGAAGGCCAGAGTGCCAGCTAGATATAGCAATGCTTACACGTCAGTGTAATGTGAGGTGAACTTCTAAGGTTTACTGGCGGTTGAATCTGAAGAACGGGGCTGGCAAAGGAGGTAAAGCATAGCCAAGCTCTAGAGGGTGATAAACCCTGTGGGTCAAATGGGCATACGTGAGATAGATCTCTCACGTAGGGCGCGACGTGCCTACACCCCATGGATTATACGAAGGATCGAAAGAGATGGTAACGCTCTGCATCTCGTCTCCCTAATGCTAGCAGGGACGGTCCATCAATGTAATCCGATTGGGTTCGAAAGTCGTATACCTCTACGCGGTGAACCCAGGCAACGTTGCTATGCAGCGGCTAAATACGACTGGCGCTCAGATAGTGTGTGGAATGAGCAGAGTGGCTGATACCATCCAACGAGGTGGACCCCACTCTAGGAGCCCAGTTCCGGTTTCGGCTGGACAAAGGGCCTCCCAACTGCCCTCTTTAGGGCAATCTACCCCACGTGATGTTACTAATCCAAACGAGCGAAACGCTCAAGGAGTAACGGTAGCATCACGCAGGAGCAGCCTTTGGTCTACCAACGAGCTGAATAAACTTGCGGACCTGGTCAATAGGCACAGAGATGCAAGTGGCCGTATCCAATGGAGAAACCTAGGCCCTGCCTGGGAAAGCCTGCGGAATGAGAATGACCCCCAAAGGACCATAGCGGCCCTGAAGGGAGCATATGCTAAACTCGCTCGGGGTACCGGGCGAGCAATTAATGGAAATGCGATAAGAGCTCCAAGAGCTGGAATCGCAGAACCAAGCGAAAACGCCGAAAGGCAGTCTGAACAAGAAGGTCGAAATGGCCCAACGCAGGAAGGCATGGAAGATGCTAGAGAAGAGCGAACACTCGGACCTAGCATGCCTACTGCACAAGAACCTCGCGAAACGAGCGAGAGCGGTAATGAGAACATTAAGGCGAGTATGAAAGCCAGGTTCCACAAATATTACCGTATAGCGATCTCAACTCAAGATCGGCAGCCGATAAGAAGACCAAAGGGCGAAATCCCAAAGGTCTTACTCGGCATAGGAAACGAAGTTCTTGCAGAAGAGCTTCGAGAAAGAAAGATAAAAAGGCTAACATCCCTAAATGCCGCGGTGTACGCGATAGCGCGTGTTATCAGTGCCAAGGCAATAGAAGATGCTAGTAAAAGGCTAGAGCCAGAAAGAGAACGCTTCAATGAAGCGATTCAGCTCCGAAGCACTCTTATCCGCTTCATATCCGCGTTGGCGGGAGAGCTAAGGAGAAGACGTATAGGTAGGGACTTGCAAGGAGGGCAAGGCAGGCCCAACCGCTTGTACCTTGAAGTCTCCAAGCTATATAAAGTGTCCAGGACTGTCGATGTTCAGAGGCTCCAAGTGAGACTTCGTGATCAGTTGAACATCGTACAGCAAGACATCAAGAGGATGGAAGATGCCAAGAGGCGCTTCCAAGTGAGGCGAAGGGGTCCATCCTTCGTAGCAAGAGAGCCCCGTGATCAAGGGGGAAATGTACCGGTGAACCAAGTACGTGAGTACTGGGCTCCTATTGTGGGCAAGGTTCAACCGTTCGTAGAAACAGTGGAACTCGCGACATGGTCGCGAACCCACAGGCGAACCGCAAATACCCATGTGGACGTAGACCTCTCAGAAGATGACTGGAGAACTTTGTTCTCGAGGATCAAACCCTGGAAGGCTACTGGACCAGATGGAATCCAAGGTTTCTGGTGGAAACACCTACCGGAAGCTAAGGAGCGTCTTAAAGAGTGGTGCATGAAAGCACTGCACAGGCGCAGGGAAGTAATACCGCGATGGCTCTGTAGAGGCAAAGTGGTACTAATCCCAAAAGGAAAATCAGCGGCCCCAGGCCCCGGAGATTTTCGGCCAATAGCATGTTTGAATACATGCTATAAGGTACTGACAACCATGATTGCAAACCGAATTGCTGCATGCACGCAAGACCGAATTCCAAAGGAACAGGTCGCTTTGCGGCGTGGCATTTGGCGATGCACTCATGCCGCACATACTGGATCAAACAGTATGCAGAGATGCTATCAAGCATCACGCAGAGCTACATATGCTATGGGTGGATATGACCAAAGCTTTTGACTCTGTGTCACACGGCGCGGTAAATTGGACATTAAGGCAATGGGGTATTCCCAGCCCCATTACTGCATTATTGCAGAGAATTATGTCCAAACAGAGCGTCAGGTACCATGGCTACCAGAATGGCAAAGTGGTCAGAAGTGCTCCCCTTGACGTCAGGAATGGCCTCATGCAGGGAGATACTCTGAGTCCACTGCTATTCTGCCTAGCCATTGCACCGATATCTGGTTGGTTGAGCTCTAACATCGAGCCATACAAGACCAAGACTGGCAGTTCTGCCAGAGGAGAAGGTAGCTTTGAGGTGGGGCACATCTTTTATATGGATGACCTCAAAGTCTACTCTACGAGCTGGGACGACTTGGTGAAAGCCAAGGCTGGAATCCAGCGAGTAGCAGAGCAGTTAGGGCTGAAGATGAACCCACAGAAATGTGCGGTGAAGTCTCTCAACGCTGCTGCGGAAGGAAGAACCGAGATAGGAGAAATCCCAATACTCGGACTCAACTCCTTCTATAAATACCTGGGCGCGGAGCAAGATGCACTTGTCTCTATGAGAGAAGTGTGGCAAAGAGTCCAGGTCAATGCTTGGAATACTGCTGTGCGTATAATGAACAGTGAACTTACTGTTCGTCAAAAAGTTCAAGGATACAACCAGACAGTAATTCCCAAGCTAAAGTATGCAGTGTCTTGTGTGATCTTTGGAAAGGGTCGCCTCATCTCCTTGAAGAAGAAAGCACGAGACTTCGACATACGCGTACGTAAGCTGCTGGAAGAATCGAAAATGCGATTCGGATACAGCTGCGTTGCGAGACTGTATGTCAGTAAAGAGGAAGGTGGACTAGGCCTGAAGTCTGTGGAGGAGGAGGTTGAACATACCATTGTTTACACATGGTGTTACCTATCCTCCAACCCAGACTTTATAGTCCCCTACCAGCTAGCCGAAAGCCTACGAGCTAGCAGTAAAAGGTCACTAACCTCAGACTTTAAGTCCGTTTTAGCAGCCAATGGACTAGAGGGAAGGGTGACTAGAACGATATTAACGTTCATAGAAGTTGATGGTCGTAGATACGACTCTGCAACTAAAGCGGCACGGGTTATCTCTACTCTAGTACACCAGAGATGGGCTCAGTTCCAGATGTCTGAGTGGAGAAAGAGGAGATTAGCCAGTAGAGTGCTGGAGGACCCAGATGGTCGCTTCCAACTAAACCACAAGGATTCGTTCCAATGGTTAAGTAAGGGATGGGTGTCATCTGCAGTTCTCAGAAAAGTGTGGGCTGCTATAAGTAAGGCTCACTACTCACTAGAGCAAGTGCCCCAGGACGTGCGGTTCAGGCTTCCGTCACGTGCCGAATGGGGTGTCCAATGAGGGAAACAGCAGAACATATAGTATCATGCTGTGAACATTGGAGAACAAACATCATGATCGAAAGACATGATGACGTCGCTAGAGTGATATACTACTCGCTCAAGCGAAAGTATGGATTATCCAATGAAGTTACTAACACACATGAACCCCATGTACTAGTAGGGCCAAATGTGGAAATTCATTGGAACAATCCTGTGCATACAAGCGAAAGCTTGAAGCATAATCGCCCCGACATATTAGTCTGGGATAGAGAGGCGAGACGCATATGGATCATAGAGATTTCAGTCTCATGGTACACGCGTATCGCAAACCAAGAGAGAAGGAAGATCTCCAAGTATGGTGTCAACAGCACCATGCCTGAAGACACGGACCTGAGTCAGTATAGACCAGGACCGAATCTCAAAGCGGTCCTTCAGAAAGACCGTCGATGTAGGGTGGATATCGTTCCCATTGTGCTTGGCACATGTGGAGAATGTAGCAAAACCCTAAGACATTATGTCCAAAGCCTAAGATTGCCTGATAAAATTGATTTTATCATAGAGAAACTCTCTAGAAGTGCGATCTTGGGAACGAATTGGCTAGTGAGAAGTCATCTAGCCAGGAGCGAGGAGTAGGCCTATAAGGACCTACGATCACAAGAGAGCATGGCATTTAGAACCATGGGAAGGGACAAGAGTCTCGTCCAGTGCAGATTCGCGCCATCTGCCAATGCGTGTCAAAAGTGTCAGTACAGAGCGTATTTGAGGGTCGGATCTTCACAGTAATGTGAAGAGGAATGAGGACTTCGTTGAAGTCTGAAACGGCCCATAGTGGGAGGGAAGAGGAGGAAAGACATAAAAACTACTGACGCGCATGAATGGATTAACGAGATTCCCACTGTCCCTAACTACTATCTAGCGAAACCACAGCCAAGGGAACGGGCTTGGTAAAAATAGCGGGGAAAGAAGACCCTGTTGAGCTTGACTCTAGTTTGACATTGTGAAGAGTCATGAGAGGTGTAGCATTAGGTGGGAGACTTCGGTCGTCAATGAAAATACCACCACTTTCATCGATTCTTTACTATTCGGTGAGAAGAGAATTGAGCTCCGGCTCTTTTTTC